CCCGTATCACCGTCTACCTGCACATCATCAGCCTCAGATGCCGCCACCCCTCCTCTCCAATTTAGCGGGGGCGCCCAGTAGTCCGTCCCGTTGAACCCCATACTCCAGGCCCTCGTCAGCAAGGGCGTGCCCAAGACGCCCGGAGGAGAAGTGGACCTTGCCCCACATGAAATCTCGTAGGTGCTTGAAATCTAAACAAAGGCGGTCAAATTAAAGATTTTCAAGGAGCAAAATGAAAATCACGTTGCACAAATCCACCTTCCCGAAATCGTGCTTAGGCTTCCGCCAGTGCCCCTTCATCGCTTGGCGTAACGTCGGTGCGCAACACTGCACTTCCTCCTCGCCGTATCAGGCGGAGCACGGTCGCCGCAGGCCCTGGCCCATTCGATTAAACCAACCGGCTTGCCGCATTGCACAGCCGCCGGGGCAGGCGGAAGTGTAATTAGCAGGTATCACCCCAAACACACGGCGCCAAGGCAGCGCGGCGCTCCTTTGAGCCGGCAATCAGCGCGCGCTTTTAGCGGAGCGGCACTGACTCAAGCCGGGCCGAATGGCCCCTACCGTGGGGGGAGAGGGGGAGGGGGCAAGAAACGCTGACGAGCGTGCGTGCGAAACGGTCGGGAAGGGTGGAAACGGGTGTGCTACACGATTTAAGGCGTGTGAATGGCAGAGATTGTTGCATCGGACATGATGGCAAAGGCGATAGGCCTGCAGAAGGCGCTTAACAGATGAAGGAACAGTGAGTGATGGACAGCGGTATTTGTCATTTGAGATTTTGAGCCGACACAATAGTGACAGCCGGTGACACTAATCCTGCGCCAGTGACTGATTGGCGGGCCAGATGTTAAAAACGCCGAACCGCTTGGGTTGCTGGTCCTTCAACCCGGCAGCCATTCGCTTTTGGCCGCCACGTTTCGCAGGGCTTCAAAAGAGCGCCCTAAACCAGCAAGCAGCGCCGAACGTCAGCTGTTCCCGCGCCCGTCCGGCGAATTATTCTTCTCACTGGAGCTGACAATATGCGCGTGACCAAAATCAGTCATGGCATTAGTGGTCCACGCCCCGGGCCTAACCGTCCAGGCGGTCAGGTCATATCGTCCCGCGGCACCGCGCGGCGCTGACCCGTCCCACCTCTCCCCTTCCCAGCACCACTCCCCGGACCTGAGGTCGGGGTGGAGAGCCCGCCTGGTGCTTCCTTCGCTCTCCAACGTCCCGCGCTCCTTCGGAGACAGCCGACGCGTTAATAGGTGGCGGTGGTGTCAGCGGCGGTGTCCGCGGTGGTGTCAGCGGCGGTGTCAGCGGCGGTGTCAGTGGTGGTATCAGCGAGCCCCAGCACGCGACGGCTACATCCGGGTGACGACGAAGTGGCGCTCACAGATCACTCACATATATGCAGACCGGCTGTCGCCAGACGTCTGGCGCCGACCAGCGTCCTCATCCTTCCCATCCCACCGACCTCCGGGTGGGTTACACCATCGCGACTTCAAACGGCCGGCCGCTACCGCCGGCAGAGGCGAAACAGCTCTCGTTTCCCACCGCAGGCCGCCATCTTACGACCGACGATATGCTTCACGACGGACAGCTCCGCGCCGAAAAAGGCCCAGCCCCGCCACCGATCATCACAATACGCATCCCAAGGATGGACGCGCGGCGGCGGCGGCGCCGTCACAGACGTGCATCAGATACGGGCAGCGGTCGCGGCACCCGCGACACGTCCGCGGCGCGCGCTGCTACGGCCGGCGGTCGGTCCGATTCATCAACACCGCCGGGGCCGCCGCCGGTGCAGGCGCCGCTTCATTCACCCCGGCCGGAGATCGCTCGTGCCCCTCGCCCCCTCCCACGCCCCAGACTTCAGAGTGCGAGGGGGAGGGGGTTCTGCGGCGTGTCGACGGGGCTGCGCCGCGTCGCCAGGAAATGGACGGGCAGAAGTGGCCACGGGCACGAGCATGAACAATCGCGGACGAGTCCACCCTGGCGCACGCAGCGGCTCCAATGTTCAACCGCTTGAAACGCATGCAACGCAGTAGAGAAGCCCAGGGCGTCTTTCGTCCCTGTCTAAAATAACCTGAACGTTTGCGCACGCGTAAATATCGCCCTCACGCACGCACGACCCAAAACTGACCATCGCTCCGCGAACCCATGCAAATGTCCTCTGCCAAACTACGCAGTTCGCTGTCTTACGGGACCACGTCAGAACCAGTTTAACAGCAGAAGCCCCTGCTCAATTTCACTTGTCCTCGAAACGACCCCCGCACGAGTCCGTTCCGTAACCACATGCTAAGCGACCACCTTCGATGTCTATCGCGCATCCCCACGCCTGCACGCGGCTACGTGCGACATCCACCCAGCAGCGGCCACACAAAACACCGGCCCCTTCCCAGAACCAGCCCCAGACAGACCCGCCGCGACCGCTCCTGGCGCCAGGGCCGGCGCATGCCAACCCCCTCCGCGCGCGCAGGACCGCCCCACACTGTCACGCGCTCGCCGCATAAGGCGGCGCGGCGCGCGTGCGAGCACCGCTCCACCGCCGCGGCAGGGGAGGCGGGGCTGCGCCGCGGTCGCTGCAGAGATGTGCGCCATGCGGCTGGGAGCGTCCCACGGCGCGGTGGCGGCGCGCGCGGCGCCGCTGGCCGCCGGGCAGCGCTGCCGTGCGGCGGCGCAGTTTGCCACCGGCGCCGGCCGCAGCCTCCATCGGCAGGTCGAAGGAGGCCTCCCGGCGGTCGGCAGGCTCGTCGGTCGAGAAGCGGCGAGTCACGCCGGCTGGCAGAGCTTACGCCAAGGGCCAGCGGACGTACGCTGGCCGCATTTGCACCGTGAGTCGTGCTGACACAGTGATAAAACCTACGGCGTCCTACATGACCCCAACGGACGCAAAGCCGCGGCGCTCACGCCACGGTACTTACGCCGTGTGACGTCACACGACGACGCACCATGCCGCGTTGCGTTACTGCCCTGGGATGCCCGGCCGCGGCGGGCGACGGCCCTGTCCTCGCCGGTCAGTCGCTGGCAGTCGGCAGACCGGAAGGCGGCCCGGCAACGGCGCGGCGTCGGAGCCGGCGCTGCGCCGCGGGGGGCGCCGGTCCCGGACCCGGTGGGGCGGCCCACCCGGCGCTGATTGGCCCACCCGCGGACACGCGGTCCACCCCCGCTGGTCCGGACACCGGGACAGGTGGGCGTTCCGCTAAAGTGCTCCGTCCGGCCGGCTGTGATGTCGGCCGCCTTACGACGGCGGCGTTCGATCCGCCTACGACGGCGGCGTTTCGATACGCCTTACGACGGCGGCGTTCGATCCGCCTTACGACGGCGGCGCTCGATCCGCCTTACGACGGCGGCGCTCGATCCGCCCCTTTGGCACCAGCGGCGGAGCCCGCCGTGCTGTTATGCTGGCCGGGGTGAAGGCTGACCGATCTGAGGTCGCCCGGTTCCTGGCCGGCTGCGGGCGCGGCCAGTATCGCTGTTGCACGTCCGGTCACGATCCGTTGTCGGGTGACGGCGGTGACGGCTCGCGGTGCAGGCGGGTGCGGCGCCGGCGGCAGCCGTCCAACGCGTCGCCCAATGACTTCGCCGTCAAATGGCCCCGCTATTGAGCAGTCGACTCGCTGACCTCACTCCTGCCTGCCACCCCTTCCGGCGCCGCAGTCGTCGCTGGCCTGTCCTCTGAGTCACACCCCGGTCCGTTCGTCGGCTCTTCCCGAGGGGCGGACATCCGCCGCCTGGCGGACGGCGGCAGGAAACGCGGCGGGCGGCTCGGCCGCGGGCCAGCGCCGGGCAGACACGGCCGTGTTTAGCCAAGGTGTCAGCGACGACCATCAAACACCCATCCCATGCCCCGGCAACAGTCTAATGACGACCGGAGAATGCAAGGGGCGAGCGACACGCCCACGGCGCCTGCATAAATAAGCATGACAACATCCCGATCGGCTATGCGGATCGCGCGGGCCCCGGCTACCGACTCATGAACGCTCACGCGTTCTGCGCCGCCGGGAGTCTTTCCGGTCGCTCGGCAATCCAGGAGCATGGCTGTGTGTGATGCACGGGAGTCGACGGCGCCACCGCAACACGGGCGCTGCTAAGACTGGGATTGGGGCGCACTGTCGTGATGGATAACGTCACGCGCTGTCGTGACGTGACGCCGTGGAATGTGACGCCTGGGGATCGGCTGAGCAGGATGTCCAGCTGGGGGCGTGCAAAAAGCTGGCTTTACAATGCAAGCGCTGGGCAGGATAAGCCTGGGGAACGGGTTTCTTTGAATGATAGTCAGTCTCATCCAAAACGACACAATTGCCGGAGATGATGGAAGCAGGGCGAAGAGACAGTTGGCATCCCTCTATTTCTGGAAATACAATTTATTCCACATAACCGCATAGGAAAAACCGTTGTAAAAATATAATTCCCCACCTCGATTGTTCAAAGGGTTTGCGATCCCTGTCCTGTGCTGCTGTGGGGCCACGGGGGGAGTGTGCTATGACGTCACAAGCATGTCAGCTGATGTTCGCTGTCCTGATGTGGGCTTTCTCACATCGTTGAGCAATGTGCCATGGTGTCCGTGTATTGGTGGTGAGCATGACGTTGACATCGCCCATGACCGAATGAGTGAAACTTAAAACGTACGCTCCATCATCAATCAACCTTAAAAACATTGACGAAGCAAAGATAAAGCTGGTCTACCGAGAGGAATCAATGACATTCAATCAGCCGCAAGAAAGCTGGCGGCCACAGCCCCGTGTATCTGATTACAAAATGCCTGCGCCCACACACTCAATCAAGACAACTCAACACAGTCTAAACAAGCTGTCAATCACACACCACAAACCGCGAAGCAATATCACGCCACCAAACGGCAGGCAAAAACAAGGCGGCGTCATGCTTCAAAAGACACGAGGAATGGGCCAAGGACGATCGAGCCAAAAACCGCAGGTCACAACAAATGTAACATTCATCACCGGCAGCCATATATCACCCGCCGGCGACCGCGGCCCCGGCGGAGACAGCGCCCCCTCACCTCCTGAAGTGCAGGAAGTCCAGCGCGATCTGCACATTCTGCAGCTGATGGAAGCGCAGCTGGCCCTTCTGCGACGGCTGAAAACAGGCGCAGGCAATCACGCGACCCCCATCTCCAAGTGGGTTTACCGCCGTCTGCGGCGTCACGGCCGTTAGCTCGCCGCTGAGTTACAGCCCGGCGAATTAGAGAGACCAGACGCAGTCGGCGCCGCCTCCGTGGCAGGCCGTTCCTCACCAGACGCCGACTGGCGGATCACACGTGGACCGCGGCAGCGCGGACACGCTCCGCACGCTGAGGGGCGCCCGAGCCCAGCGGACGAGATGGCCCGACATTGTGCAACCCGCCGGCCGCACGCGCCCCAAACAAATCGAAAGCGGCTGACGGCATCGGTTGACGCAGGGGCCGCGCCGGCGACAAAAACGGCGCGCGGCGCCCCGGCGCTGCTCTCCTCCACCGGCGCGGCGGCGTCCGGCCGGCGGGGCTGATCGATTCGGCGCGCGGTGGCCGCGGCGCAAATCCGTCACCTTTTTCCCGGCGCTGAATAGGTGCACCGGCCTGCGAGGACGCGGCCGGGGCAAGAAGCGGCGGCCGCTGTTTTGTTGCGCGCGCGGCCGGACCGCGCCCGGCCGTTTCGGTTTGCCGTGACCCGGTGGAGTCCCGCCGGCCCCGCTTGCTTGCCTGGCGCGGCTAACGCCCTCCCCCCTCCCCTCCTATCTATCGCGGCCTTCCGATAGACCTGGGCGGGGTTGTGAGGCGAGGGGGTGAGAGGCACGCCCCAAATGCTATTGAGAGTTCTGCCCGTCTCCTCATGGCGTTTCAAGCTAGGATCTGTTATGCATGCGGGCGCAAGTATGCGCTGTTACTCCATCTGCTGTAATGGCAGCGAGGACCGAACACCAAACCTGTCCTGAACGCTGATGATTATCCTGCCATGCATACCGCTTTTTCTTATCAAGCTAACTGTACCGGCAACTGCTAAGTGACAAGAGTCGCGCCGCCACCATCAAGTCATAAAACGTCAGCGGTCTAACGACGCCCGACGGGGAGGTCCTTCTCGTAACCGGCCAAGGCTACCCGCCACCGCAACACACGACAATGGGACCGCGAGCACGACGGGACCGGCAGCTGCCGAGTTTCCTCCCTCCGGCGCGAAAAGAAACCGATTGAAAATGTTCACCGGTTTGACCCGAACAAGCCAGTTCCCCCCGCCCTTACGACTGTCGCGGAACGAGCTCGATTACTACAGGGCGGTGGGAGCGGCGTTCACCGCGTTGAGGCAGGCCACCGCCCGAATGGAGTTACGCTCTCTAAACGGAAAACAAGCTGGGGCACAGCTCAGACATTAACCAGAGCTTGTAAACACTCTTGTCCTCCTCTTAACGACACGGCAATCCTCTCTCCCCGGCTAACGACACTCGCCGCTATCCCGAGCTGCTCTGGCCCTCCCCCTGACTCTATCTCCAATGTCACTACGCCCCCCGGCCATCACCGGAGCGGGTGTGGCCCAGTTGCCGCCGTCGCTTGACCTACTGCCTAATCTCTGTGTGTAATTGGGGCCGGCAGTTTGTCGTGCAGTGTTTCTGGACGGGCGGGCCGGCCAGCTGCCGATGAATGGCGGGAGGCGGCCGGAGGTCACCGCCAGGGGTCAGTCAGCCGCAGTGGCTGCAACGGCGCGGCCACGGCGCGGCAGAGGCCCCGCGGCGCAGGGCTGAGGTGAGAGCGCCGACCCGTGGGAAAGGACGAATACGGGCGGGAGGCGCGACAGCGACGAACAGGGCGGCACGGGAGGCTGCCATGGCTACGGCGCGTGGTAAGCGGTCCTGTGCGCGGACCGCTGAGGGATTTTTGCGGATAAGGGCGCTCCCGGATCTCCTTGGTGACGTCAGTGTCAGCAGCCGCAAGTACGACAGATAAAAAAAGGGATTTGGTGGCGATGGCCACGGCTTTTGCGCGCACCATTCGCCCGGTATTGGCTGTTAAAAATACACGGCACCGGAACATAGCAATACAGAGGAGATACGCCAGTACATCAGCGTTTATAGTCCTTACGGTCAATGCGAAGTGACGAATGAGGTGAGCGAAACTGAGACAAGGCATTATGATGAGATGGAAGTCAAGATATGCGAAACTTACCAACCGCTCGCCGGACAGCACCTCCAGCAGTCCCAGGAGGTTCTTTCCGTCTCGCAGGTCGACGAACAGGTCGCGAACGTTGCGCCCGCACTGCAACACGGCAGAGCCCGGTCAGGTGGGCGGCGGCGGAGCTGAACCGCCGCGACGGGTGACACAGATTTAGCATCAGTCCGCCGGCCCGAAAACGCGACCGGCTAACCGGACCTACAGCATCGGACATAAGATCAGACACAAAAACCCACCTGCCGGACGGCTTGACAAGGCAGTCCTGACCGTTGACCGCAAGACTTGGGGCGGTGGCTTCCCTTATGCGTGGCGCAGTGGCGGGCGACCCGCGCCGAGCCCGCAGTCGGAAGGCCGGGCGCCTCAACAAGTGACACCAGCACGCGGCCGGCCCCATTCAAATCCGAGAACAATGGCCAAACACATCCGCCGTCGGCTTGGCCGAGTGCCGGGGAGCCGGCTACAAGAACTGGAGACCGGTCAAGCGCGAAGACACGGGGCTGAGGCGGGTCGGAAAGAGCTCCGGCAGGGAAAACAAACCAGCCAGCGCGCAGAGCTCATGTCGCGAACAAAATGCACGAGCGATGTGCCACGTCGATGGCTGCTTAGCTGTGGCGCCGTAGCCTACTGCCAGTGGGTTAATTGGTGCCACAGAGAGTAAGTCAAGCGGGATTAGTTCAAAATGGTGAGACACTGAAAATCTATGAGCGGGTTAAAATGGTGCACATAACTCAGGAAAACATCTGGTGAGAGAAGGCCTAGTGCAGGTGTGGTGAGCCAGTCGGGTCCAAGTTCAACGACGTTCGAGCCGAATCAGCCAAACCAAACAGCAGCCGGAATCAAACAAAACAAAAAAAAACGGAAATCGGCAACGCGAAGAAATCAGAAGAGATGGCTTCTATCGACACCGCGCCGTCGAAAAAGCATCGACTTCATGCAGCAGTCGCATCGGCAGCGGGTCCAGCCACGAACCGAACACAGGCCAGTCCTGCGAGCGGGTTGAGCACGGCGCCTTGGGCAGGACTTACGACGTCGAGTCCTGAGTCGTTCGACCCCAGGTCAACTCTGAGTCGCTCTTTCGACCCGAGGCCCAGACCCCGATACAGGGAGTCCGGCGAGCTCGTGTTGAGCCGCGGCCGCTCTCGCGACCCGTTGGCCGGCGCGGCCGGTCGGGGCGACGCGAGTTCAAGGCGCAGCCGCTCGCGCGACCCCCAGGCCCGGTCGCGGCCGGTCCGGTGACACGAGGTCAAGGCGCAGCCGCTCGTACGAACCAGCCGGCGACCGGACCCGGCTGCTGGACCCTGACTCACGCCCGAGGCTATCGCTTGACCCCAGCACTGTGCCGAGACTCAGGAACGTCTGCAAGGCGAGGGCAGCGTACATCTGACATCTGCCGGCGACAACCGCAACTTCCAGTTCCTGAAAGCGCCGATAGTCTGATTCGGAGAGAATTATGTCTGAAGATGTGGCGGTGCTACGATCCATGCGGGATGAACAGGCTGCGCGTGCCATCCACGCGGGCGTGCACGAGAAACCCAAAGCCGGGTAATCAATATCACGTCTTCGCAGTTGCGCCATTGATGCCAGAACTCAATACCGCCTTCGCGGCAGACATTGGTGCTAATGGTGATGCATGCGTGCAACCCAATGCGCCTCATATGTCAATCAGGGGCGAGGTCAGGCCTCTGTGCGAAAGGAGAGTGCAGATCAGATTCGCAGGGTGCGACTGAAGGCAATCAACTTCCCAAACGCACTCTTACAGACTCCCCACAAACCTCACTCAGAACGTGCTACGATACTTATATTTTATTATATAAGTATATATTATATATATACTTATATAAGTAATATACATTTTTTATTATATAAGTATATATATATATATATAATATAGTATATATTATAAAATACCCAATATTTTACATCAAAATTCGGCCACCGCAAGTCGATTTTCAATCTTCCCACGCGCTCAGGCAAGTTACGGCACACTTATCAAGTACATGTAAGGTCCTGCATGACCTGACAGGACCTGACAAGACACTCCTCGAACCTCTACGACAGTGCCATGCCTCGTCGCCCCGCCATGCCTCCGGCGCCAGTGCGGGGCATGCGACATGCGACATGGTGCGATCACGGGCGTGATCCCGGGATCCGGTGACGGAGCCGGGAGAGAGGCATGGACTTCCTCTCCGCCGAGGGGAGGCAAGGTCTGGACACTGAGAGCAGGGTTCCCACGGGCGTGACAGCGGCGCCCCAGACACGTGACCCGGTCATGATTGAGTCGTGCATGCTCCGATCAGTTAGACGGCTCGGCGGCCGCGGCCGACCGGCCGGCCGCGCCTTGACCAGAACGCCGCCACGTTTACGCCCCAATCACCGGTTGTAAACGGGTGGTAAACGAGTTAACGACGGTGCGTCGGGCAGCATACCTCGTAGCACATCCCATGCTGCGTACGGGAGGAGGAAGAAGTGGCGATCAAGAGCTCCGGTACAAACGGCAGCAGTCGGGTCATTTGTCGCACACGAGTACACCTATCACGACAGCCACGCCCACGCCCGCAGGCGTGTATGACCACGGCAATCACGGCACTCCTGCCGTGTCGGCGTGAGAGCTGCCCCGCGTGGCGTGGTGGAAGCGGTGCTTGTTTGTATCTACAGGCGCGTCTGCGCGTGGAGCCAGGCGCGAGCACAGCCCACACGCCGCCAGTGGCCCCGCGGAAGTCCCATCAGGGTCCCAGGGCGAACGCAGACATTACGCTGGCAGCATGTCAAAATAAGTGCTCGCATTGTTCTTTAAAATGGGCAAAGCGTTAATGGACTACCATCATGGTCATACACGATTCAAAAGAGCAGTAACTCCATGTATAGCAATAAGACCGACTATGCAATGTCGGGAAATGCTACAGGATCCATGAGCATTTTGAATGTCATCAGCACTAAGAACATCACCATCACAATGCACGATCATTGCATCAGCTATCACACCGTAGTACTGCGGTCAAAACTGCTGTATTTATGTACTCATATTGTTATTAAATGACACCGTCCCCTCCGTGGCATGGAAGCACTTTCACGTCTAGAACATGGTTGTACACGAGCGCATTATTGTGGATTCCGAAGGTTTTCCAACACTGCGGACGCGGTCTTAACTTGTAACCGACACACGAGACCAAACCGTCCCAGGACACTTCGAATAACGCTGGGATACCCCCTGTCCCGCATGCCCACTCCATACATTTCCAGCCATGATTCATCCGCCAGCATCTGAAGAGAGGAGGTTGTTTCGTCACCGGTCTGAGTCGGCAAGATTGGCCCTACGGGAGTGTCCGAGCGGTTGGAGGCTTGTCGCATCACGGCGGTCAGTCCCTTCCGCTGCACAGAGGCCAGTCCCAGTGACGTCACGAGCCTGTGACGACTCGCGGCAGTGTCCCCAGATCTGATAGTCACCGCACGCCGCCGTCAGCATCCGACGGACGGCCTGAAAACGCTAGAACCGGGGCAGAGGAACGACGGGTGGCAGCCGGGGGGAGAGCCATAAACATTGATGCATGCCATGGAGGTCAGCTGGATACGGCTCCGGCGTAAGCAGCCGGTATTTCGTCTTTTTAATTGATTTAATAATTTCCCCGCAGGCCAGTGAACACCAGCCCTGACTACAGTGCCCGCAGGCCAGTGAACGCCAGCACTGGCCACAGTGCCCGAGGCCAGTGAACACCAGCACTGGCCACAGTGCCCGCAGGCCAGTGAACCACCAGCACTGGTCACAGTGCCCGCAGGCCAGTGGACACCAGCACTGGCCACAGTGCCCGCAGGCCAGTGACCGGCCCGGCACACACACGCCGCGCAGCAGCGAGGCAGCCGTAATGAGGGCGCGCCGCTAATTAAGACCGAATGGGTTTAATTCGGCTCGGTCCCGAGGATCCCCGACCGCAGCCCGTCACGAACGCGGCCGGCCCACTGTGCATAATGAGGCTGGCCACAGCGCAGGCTCGCCGGCGCGCCCTGGGGCGCACCCGCACGCCGCGAGGACAGGCGCGGGCTCGGGCCGGCCGTGACCCGGCGCCGCCAGGGCTGGGATGATGGCATCGCATGGTGTTCGCGTTGTCTCAGGGAGTTACCGCAGAGGAGACTTTGTCCCAGCTCTCAGGGGCGGGCCTGCCAGTCAGGAGCGCGGGCCCCAGGTCCCGATCCAGGCCATGCCATCGTCCCAGACGTCCTCCCACCGCGGAGAACATGAGAACAAGCTACCCAGAACAGGAACGGGCACAAGCAGGTTTTCCAACGACGGCAGCATTCGCACCGCGACCAAGTGGACCAAGCCACGGTCTGGGAACAGAAAAATAGACACCGCTCCGCGAATATGCACGTCAACATCCCATGTATATCAAATGCAACCGCAGAGCATGCAGATCCGCGACGCTCGGCGCGTGCTCCACTCCCACCGGGCGTATTTCTGCACACTGCAAAGGTTTCAGCGAGCGCCACCGGCGCGGTGGCCTCCTCGGCGCCCGGGGGCATGTCACGTGGTCCGTGACTCACGACATCGGTGCGCCTGCGGCCCCATGAGCCGCGCGCCGAACGCGGCTATCCCGCGCGCACTGCTGACGGCGGCCGTGCTGCCGGCGTGATACGGCTAATTATAGCGCGTCGGTGCGCGGCCGTCAATTACCGCCGCCAAAGCGCCCGTTAAAATACACATCCGCTGCATATTAATGCGGCGGCGACGGCGCGCACAAACAGATGTTTCAAAGCGGCCGGCCGGGCCACGGGCGTGATTCTGGACATGCCCAGCCGGGCTCCGCCGGCGCACGCGACAGCCGCCGCCCCCGCCAAGGGTCCGGCGTCGTCGAGTGTTTGGGTTCGCGTCGACAGGCGTCCGCGTGCTCCGTGTTTGACGTCGTCGGGCTCGGCGCCGGTCTCCCGCCGCCGCCGCGCCGCCGCGCCGCATTCCTGCCGCGGGCTCGCGGCTCCCACGTCTGCGTGTAAAACAGCGCCGGCCGTGCGCCCCTACCGCCCGCGTAGAGTTCTCGCGATTCGGTACATCCGTGCCCCGGCGGCCAGGGGAGCGCTCACCGGGCGCCACGCGG